TTGTACCATTTTTTTTATAAATTAATTTTTATTGGTGTTCAATTTACCAACATACAGAATAACACCCAGTGCTCATCCCGTCAAGTGTCCCCCTCCGTGCCCGTCACCCATTCACCCCCACCCCCCGCCCTCCTCCCCTTCCACCACCTTTAAATAGATAATATAGCCATATGGCTCAGAAACTGAAACAATAAAGTTGAGATTTAAAAATCTCAAGTAATCTCAAGTAAAACGCAAGTAAACTTTGCGTTTACTTCCACCTTGTCTCTGTCTCCTCCACTCATTTTTTTTAAGATTTTATTTATTTATTCACGAGAGACACAGAAAGAGAGGCAGAAACATAAGCAGGATCCCTGCTGGGAGCCTGATGCAGGACTCGATCCCAGGACCCTGGGATCATGACCTGAGCCAAAGACAGATGCTCAACCACTGAGTCACCCAGACACCCCCGCCTCTACTCATTCTTAGTAAGCAATGCTTTTCATGAGTATCTTTTGTGACTTTCCAGTGTGCCTCTGTGCAGGACCCTGGCAAACAAATGTATAATTCATATATTTCCCCTTTGCTGGACAAAAAGTGGTGTACAGAAATGCTGATCTGCAGCTTTCTTCCTTTTTTTCCCCCAGTTAACAGTTTATCTTAGCTTTCCACAGCAGTGAAACATTTGTATTCTTTTTTAACATTGAATAGTATTCTGTTTTGTGGATGTATCCCAGGTTATTTGTCCAGTCCCTTCCTGATGGGCACTTGAGCTTTCCTGATCTTTTTGCTACCCCAGATAATGCAAATATTTTACACACATTTTTATTTGTATGCAAGAATAATTACAGGATAAACACCCAGATAAGGGAGTTCCAGGTAAAAAGGTAAACGCATTTGTAATTTTCATAGATATTTCCAAATCGGACTAAGGGTCCACTTAGGTGGTATCATTTTATGTGAAGTGTATGTTCCATGACACACCAGCTAACAGAACGGTCTTCCCTAGTTCAATGTCAATCACATTGGTGAACAGAGATATTTTGATGCAGTTTTTTTTTGTAAGATTCCCCCTCCCCCCCCCCGTGGTGAAACACCATTTGCATTTATTTTTCTCTGAACCATCTGTTCTTTGCCACTTTCCTTGTGCTGCTGGATTATTTCCTTACTGATTTCTAGGAGTTCATCATATACTGGGGAGATCGGCCCTTGCGATGAGGATTGCAGAGGTTCTTTCCATATTGTCATTTCACTTTTGATTCTGTGTATATTTTTCTGTGAAAGTGTGTCATCATTATGTAGTGAAGTTTGTCTTTCTTTTCTTTTTCTTCTTCTTCTTTTTCTTCTTCTTCTTCTTCTTCTTCTTCTTCTTCTTCTTCTTCTTCTTCTTCTTCTTCTTCTTCTTCTTCTTCTTCTTTCTTCTTCTTTCTTCTTCCTCTTCTTTCTTCTAGATTTTAAGTAATAGTTTGAAAGGCAATAAAAGGACGTACCGTCGAGTGAAATGAGACCTAGGCCACTCAACTGGAGGTTACATTTCAGGGTCATCTGACGCAGGAAAATAAAACACCTACCAGCAACTTAAAGGGGTCTGTCCCTCAGGGGAAAAGTGACATGGATTACATTTGAGTGTTCCTATGACTTTATGGATGCAGCTCTCCATATCCACTTCCCCAACTCCCTTTTCCTAACCCTGAAGTCTGAAATCCACGGAGAAGGGAGGTGGGCTAACAACACACGCAGTCCTCCCACACCAGGACTCTTTTGGAAATACTCGAGCTCTCGGCTGTTGTTTTGTCTCTACATAGGGAGCCCTACCGCTGAGCAGCTCATGTTAGTTCCCTTCCAGATCACCCTAGAGATTCGGAGTTGGGCCAAATGGATGGTCTGAGCATTGAAGGATCCTATTCCCAGATGAAAGGTGTGGCTTCTGAGTGACACAGTCCCAGGGGCAGGCCCTGGGTAGAAAGGGGGGGTGCTGCTGCTTGGGGGATAGCTTCCCACGATGAATGACGATGAATGACGACAGTTTGCAGAGGGGCGGATACCAGTGAAAAGCAGCCCCTGGGACAGATGGCCTGCAAAGACACCCAGCTCTGGGGAGCCAAGAGTGTCCTGAAGAATGGGCATGGGGGTGAGGAGGGCCCCCCTGCCTGGCTTCGTCTGTTCCCGGCCACAACCTCGCAACATGGGGAGTGATGTCACCGGCCTGCCCTCCAATGCCCTGGAAGAAGCAGCTGCTCTGGTGGTTTCTTCCAGGCTCTGATGGGCAGAACCATGGGAGGGGTCGTTTTTTGTACAAAGCTGTAACATTGTGGGTACAGGGGGCCACGGTGATTCAACTCTATGGGAAAGCTTTACAAAAACCTTTCTGCCTGTCCCAAACCACAGTTTCTCTACTTTTGTCCTGGGTCATGAACCCGAGGGCAGTGTGAGTCAGGATGCCTTCACCTCACCCCTGCTCACCTGTCAAGCCAAGACCATGGATAAGAACGGGCTTGGATCGGGACAGAAGCTTGCAGAGAGTCCAGATGTAAGAAGAATGCCTCAGTGGCCCCTCAGGTGAAGGACTCAGGGAGACTCCTTCATCCTAAGCCCCGCAGAACCCAGGGCAAGGTCAGTGTAAAGGTGAATGGGAGGGGACCCATTCTGTAGAGGAAGGAGCCAGAAATAGCCCCACTCTCCATGGACATGGTCAGTAGCTCCAGGGCCCTGCCCTCCTCTCCAGACCTACATTTTTTTTTTTGATGGACCCTCAGAAAGAATCAAGAAAGTAGTGTAGGGCCCTCTGGATAGACTCTGGCCGTGCTCTGTGGTCCCAAGAGTTAAAAGTTGAAAACGTTGTTCCATGCAGTATCTCTAATCCACAGAAGGGGATCCACGGAGTCCTCCAGACACCAACCAGGGACCCCTCTTCTTTCCAGGCTTCAAATTTGTTTGCCTCCTTGCCCCATGTCACTGTGTGAACACTGAAGTGTTCTTCGGAAAAGGCACCAGGCTCACAGTTATAGGTAAGACGTATTCTGGGTCTTCCCAGAGCCCTTGTAGGTGAAAGCAGATCCCAAGTGTCCATTTTAGAGTGGCCATATTCTGATGTGTTATGATCTTAACTTTGGCCCAGGGACCAAGCTGACAGTCATAGGTAAGGTTGGGGGGGTCTCTGGCAGGGTCCTAAGGGGAGGATTCTAACCTGGGAAATGCAGGAGGGAGGGGATCACCCAGGTCTTGGGTCCTGGTTAAGGAGAGGTCGTCCCTAATTCTGGAAACTGTAGGAAGGTCCCAGTCAGGGCAAATCTGTTCAGCTATGGGGGGGGGAGGGGAGGGTCCTCTGTAAACTCAGAGCTGAACCTCGGTGTGTAAGGCAGAGGAGGGAAAGGAGATGGTGCTGCCCCTCTGAGTAGTTATCTGACAGAGGGAAGCCTTGAGAAAGCCTGGAAGGCAACTCATGAGCCCCGACGCTGGTCCATCTTCCTCACTGACTCAGGCTCTGGGCAGGGGCTTCATATCTTTCCTTGCCCTGGATTTCACAGGAGGCCACACTGCGGCTCCTTTTTTATGACTGTCCAGGGGCCTGGGTGAGCTCTGGAAGGGAGTGGGGAATATGTGAAGCAGGGCTGGGAGCTCTGTGAGGGGAGAGATCTGTCCCTGAATCTCAGCTGAGCTCAGCAGACAGGGGGAGGTTCTGAAGTGGATCTGGGAGGCTGTGCTTTTGAAACACCTTGCACTTTGGGGACGGGAGCCGGCTCAGTGTTGTAGGTAAGTACATCAGGGATGGAGGGCTGGGAACCCCCACCCAGATTGGGGCAGGGGTCCAGGTGGAACCTCTCTCTTGAGGGCTTGGGTTAAAGCACGTTTTTATAAAAAAGATCTGGATTCTTGTCTTGATGAGGACAGGCGGGGACGGCCTTCCATCTCCATGATTTCATGGACGGGCGATGCTAAGTCTGGGTTCCTCTATTGGGAGGCAGGTAGTCTCCTCTTGGGGTCACCTTGTCCATCTCCTGTCTCCTTGGAGGGCACCCCATCATGGTCACATAGATGAGAAGCCTCTGGCCTCAGAGCTGCCTTAACCCCTGCTCAGAAAGGTGAGGGACACGGGAGAAAGGTGTGGAGGCCACATGGCCAAATCGATCCTCTGACCACGGCACTTCACATGGCATACTTGTCCCCCCGCTCCCACATTCTGGTGACAAAATTCTGCTAAGGAAAGGGAGAGAGGGCAGGAACACTTGGGAGGACAGGAATAGGATGCAGTCAGGACAGTTTTCCTACCAGCCTGCAGGGTTGTGTAACAATGAAAAATTGTATTTTGCAAGTGGAACCAAGCTCTCTGTCTTGGGTAAGTAAGGGGCTTCCCTGGGGGTAGTGTGTTGGGGGAGTGCGGTCCCAGGATGACTCCTTGGACACAGCAGGGGAAAGGCTCAGAGAGTGCTGGTAAGCAGAGGAGGTACCCGAGTCCCTGGACATTGGGTGGAAGGAAGCTTCTGGAAACAAAGGCTCCAGAGAGCACCTCTGGGGTTTGTCACACTCTTGTTGTGCTGTGGAACAACCAGGCACAGCACTTTGGAGATGGGACTCGACTCTCTGTCCTGGGTAAGGAGCAGGACCGGGGTGGTACAGGGCCATGGTCGCTTGGACTCAGAGGGTCCCCGTCTCTCCTCCCAGCCCTGGCTGTCGGGGGTCAAGTAAGCTCTCTCATCCCTGGGGAGCTTCCAAGGAGCTGGGGCTGCCGTTCCTCGTGGTGTGGCTTGGTGGGTCCTCTATCTCTCTTCCCTGAGTCTTCAGCCCTTCATATTTCCTCCTTACTCTTTTCCTTGGTTCATCCTTCTCCTGTGTTCCGCCGCTTAAGCCAGCATATCATGGGGACCTTGCTCCTAATGGGACCCCCCTGGTCCAGAGCCAGGCATCCAGGCAGGGAGGGTGGCTGAGCCCTGTCCCTGGGAGTGAGGACTCGCCCTCTGGCAGGAGACCTCCGCCGGTTTTACCACGGCTGCCTGCAGCTGTGTTTCTATAACTCGCCCCTCCACTTTGGAACAGGCACCAGGCTCACCGTGACAGGTATGGGGCTGCCCTCCTGGCTGGGGTGCCTGTGCATGACCGATCAGCCCGGGGTGGGGTCAGGGGTGTAAGGATGGGGGTCAGAGCTGTCCTCTCCCTCCTGGGGCTTCTGGAGCTGCTCTGCAGTGCTTGTCGTGGATCCTCTGGTAGGGGGCTCCGGTTTAGTCTTCAGACTTGGTATTTCCTTGCTCTGCTTCTCATTGTTCTCTGGGACTCCTCTCATCTCTTCTTTTTTGGGGGTGTGTTGTTTTACTTTCCCTTTTCTTCTTTCCTGATTCAGATCTTCTCCACTTTGCCTCCTATTCCACCTCCAATCGTTCACCGTTGACTCCATTTTGGTGAATGGGTCTGGCTTCTATGTTGAAGACCTTCTAGAATCTACCCCGCACTCAGAACTCTGTGCTTGCCTTCATTGTCCTCCTTCTCTGTCTCAACTAACTTCCAAAGATCCCCGCGTGCCTTCCTGAAGTGATCTAGGGCTCAGAAGGTAGTTGGGGGGGGGGGCAGACTGATGAGACTGGGCTGGTTTGAGGGGTGTTTCTGAGCCCCAAGGGCAGAAGTACATGTTACAGTATGGGTGTCTGAGGGACACCCTGCTTGGCAGTATCAGAGGAGATACAACAAGGAAAATTGTGCCATCTTAGTAAGACATAGGTTGTAAAGAAGAGAAAATAGACAGGAGGCCCCATTTTCCCAAACCTCGGGATCTCTGCTAGGCTGATAGGTAAGGAGCCCATCAAGAAACACAAACACACCATTAGCATGCTTGGGAGGAAGGGGCAGGTGGAGGACAGGCCGTGGAGGGATGGGTCTGTGCTGGGCCATAGAGACAAGGCCCGAGGAATGTGACACTTGGTCCTACCAGACTGGTTGGCTGGAGCAGACTTTGTCCGACAGATGGGTGCCTATGCCAGCAAGTGGATTAAGAATTAGAAAGTACAATTACTGGGTTCCAAATACTTGGGCTCACCGGAGAGGATGGGGTTGCTAGAACAACAGAAAAGTGGAAATCTCAGAATCTCTGAGATGTATAAAATGGGGATGATAGCGCCAGCCTCTTGGGGTGTTAAATTATTAGGGACTAACTTATATTGAAATCCTTGTAAAAGGCTCTCCTTACTGTGGCCATCCTTTCCATTCCTGTTGTGCAAAGTCTTGTGTCACAGACTTTGGCCTTTTTCCCAAACTGCATCTCAAATGTGGATAAAGTGGAGACATTTGGGTTGCCCACATTTCTGCTCCCCCAAACCACTCCTCTAGTCAGTATAGAGCCAAGCAGAGGGCACAGCCCATTCCAGCAAAAAGATGGGAATGTGGGGGCATGGAAGTGCCTTCTCTCATCCCTCTGTGTCTGCACATGAGGCCCTGCCTTCCAACAACTCCAGAAATTCTTTATGCGTCAAGCACAAAAAAAGGGCCCAGGACTTTGCAACATGAACAGTCTGATGACATGGCCCTTGGACTTTGGAATTTGCTCATACCCATCAAGATCGGCCGTGAACTAGTATTTCCAAAGCTGGCAGGGAGGCTTGCTGGGTGCTGGAAAGAAAACAGATTCAACCCAGGAGTAGTATCTTTCATAGGATTACAGCCATCCCGGGCAAGCTACCACATACCCCGTGTGCCCCACTGCAAATGAAGTAAATGTGGAATGTCTGATAACATAATAGCCAGAGGCTTCTTGGCTCCTCAAAGTAGATTACACATTTAACACACACACACACACACACACACACACACACACACACAAGAAAAGGGAGGAAAAGTGACTTGGGAAAAGCATTTAGAAAAAAGTAGAGTCAGATGCAAGGGGACAGGGTCTCCTCCAGGCAACAAAGGCTAACTCTCATATGTGCTATCACCCAAACAGACCGCCACATGAGAATGATCATTAGAAAGAGTTGACTTGGTTCCCGGGATCATGTGAGAACCCTCAGCCTCAAATCCTGGGCCCATTCAATTCTATCATAGCTGCTTCTAAGTTTGAGGGAATAGATAGTCATGCACCGAAGAGAGCTTTGAATGAGGAAGAAAAAAACAGATAGACTCTTGATAGATATGGGCCAAGGCCTTGAGAAAGAGACTGTCAAGCAAGCCAAGGAAATCAGGACACCCCGCTGCCTTAGGGAGATGGAAGAGATAGTTGGCAGTATGCACCCATGGGGTAAGCGAGAAAAGTGGCAAACCTGAGGGAACACGACAGAGACCCCCAAACACACAAGACCTACAGCTACATAATTTTGTTTTATGATGACTCCATTTCCAGCTCATTCTCTCTCTGTCTCCCTATTTCTCTCTGTTTCTGTCTCTGTTCTCTCTCTCTCTCTCTCTCTCTCTCTCTCTCTCTCACACACACACACACACACACACAGAGCAAACCCAGACAGCTGTCAGCCCAGCCCTGGTCTCAACCTCTCTTCCCTTGCAGAGGATCTGCAGAAGGTCACCCCTCCCACGGTCACAGTGTTTGAACCATCAGAAGCAGAGATCTCGCGGACCCAGAAGGCCACACTCGTGTGCCTGGCCACGGGCTTCTACCCCGACCACGTGGAGCTGAGCTGGTGGGTGAACGGGAAGGAGGTCACAAGTGGGTTCAGCACCGACCCGCAGCCCTACAAGGAGAGGCCCAGCGAGAATGACTCCAGCTACTGTCTGAGCAGCCGGCTGAGGGTCTCTGCCTCCTTCTGGCACAACCCGCGCAACCACTTCCGCTGCCAAGTCCAGTTCTATGGGCTCGGGGACGACGATGAGTGGGAACACGATAGAGTCAAACCCATCACCCAGAACGTCAGTGCTGAGGCCTGGGGCAGAGCAGGTGAGGGGGCCCTGGGGGATGGGCGGGGAGTGAGTCAGAGCCCAGCAAGGGGGTGGGGACGTTCCAGGCAGAAGACCAGGCAGGCCACATGCAGAGGTAGAGTTCAGAGATTCATCATCAGTCTTATACGTTCATTAATCCAACTTAGATTGCAAAAAAAAAGAATAAGCACCCCAAGCCTTTTGTGGAAGGCAGCGAGATAGAAATAAAACATTCCCCATGAAAAACAGGAAGAGAGAAAAACCAGTGCAGAGAACCCAGGACAGAGCAAGGAGACTAAAGGCCAGCATGAGGGGGACCGGGCGCCTCGGGCTCATTCCTCCCCCAGATCCTCAGCCCAGCAGAGCCTTGCAGCGGGGGCCCTCACTGTCCTAGCCTGTAGGGCTCCGCACGCTCCACGGGGTGCCAGGGTGGTGTGGCTCCATCGACACAGGCCCAGAAAGACAGTCCAAGAGCCTGCGAGAAGGCCGGTCCGGCCTGGGGTCCCTGCTCCCCAGAAGGCTCACTTCCTGTGTTCGTGTTTGTTTTGTTCTTGATTGAAGCCCAGCTGACAAGTCATATTGCGTTAGCTTCAGGTGCACCTACCTGGGCAGCTCCCCGCCTGCTTCAGAAGATGGGGTCTCTCATCCGTTCCCTCCCCCTTTTCTCTTTCAGACTGTGGCTTCACCTCGGGTAAGTGTCCCTGTCTGCTGCTCACTCTCTGCCTCCCGTGGCTTTGCCCTGGACCCAGAGCACGGGGAACCCATGGGCCCTGGGGTGGGGGTGGAGAGGCCAGAGCCACCTGCTGCTCACGGGTCCCCGTGTGCCCTCCCTTCCCGCCCGCAGTGTCCTACCATCAGGGCGTCCTGTCTGCCACCATCCTCTATGAGATCCTACTGGGGAAGGCCACGCTGTATGCTGTGCTGGTCAGCGTCCTGGTGCTGATGGCCAAGGTAGGGGGGGCGGATGGGGCACTGGGGGGGGTCACACTTGAAACACAACAACTCAGAGCAGTGAGTAGCAAGGGACCCTGCTAGAGCCAGCGGTGGCAGTAGAGGAACAGGGAGGTACACCGGTGTGCCAAGAAGACACATTGTGCCTCTGGGACCACAGTGGGGAGAGCCATGCAAGGAAGGAGAAGCTGGGGTCACCTGAAAACCCAACAGACATTATAAAGAGCCCTACTGTTCATCCTGTCGGTGGACCTTCCTACTTCCTCTCAATTCCTACCACTCCTGACTCCCAGTAACTCCCTGAAACCTTCTCTTCTTCAGGTCAAGAGAAAGGGTTCCTGAAACTAGTTCGGAGGCAGAGCCAGCAGCTTCCAGCCTGCTGTTGCCCCAGGACGGATTCTCCTTTTTCCACTTCTAGCCAGTGCTTCTCAAGAGCTGTCTTCATCTCTCTGCTCACCCCCAACACCTACCCCCTATGTTTGTGCACACCTGAATGCTCATGACCCAAATCTCCCTAACCCCAGGGGGACCCTAGTGTGACCACATTGACCGAATCAATAAAAATGGCCTGACCTGGTTTGACTGCCTTGTGAGTATCTGGGTACATCTTCTCAGACCTCCAGTGTGACTCCAGACAGGACAGAAACAGGAGGGATCAAGGAAAGGGCAGGCCCTTCCGGTACCAGGGCTGAGGGACCCCGCCTGTGGCTGGCACTGCCCCTCCCGTCAGAGGAACCTGAGTAACTGGTAATGGGAGATGATGGGATTGAAGAGACTTACTTAGGAACAGCCCAGAAAAATGGTGCCATTTCCTATAAGAACTTTGCGTCCTACCTGAACGAAGGTGCTCTGAGGAAGAGTCCGCCTACACAGGTGTGTCTCTCACAGGTCATATATGCTTGGCTAACAAAGCTTGCTTTCATACCCCTCACCCACATTCCCTTCAGCTGTGCCCTGAGGCCACTGTGCTCCATTTTTCACCAAGTGGGCTTCCCGGCCAAGAAGACAAGGTGCTGACTTCTCAAGTAGCACGTGTGTCTTGCAGTTTAAGTCACAAGTCCGTTTATGAACTTCTCTCTAGTGAATTAAATGGGTGTGAAAATGTGCCCTGACCACTGCTGGAGGGATAGGAAATAAGGGTCCTCCAAATCCAGAATCAGCCGTAGTGCTATTTCTAGAAATCCTCTGAGGGCTCTTCAATGTCCCATTGCCAAGGAGGGGATGCAGTGCACAGTCCTGAGGATGGCATCTAGGACATGGCAGTGGTCCTCTGCTCCCTTGCTCCGTACATACTCCGCTCCTCTCACCCTGTGTCCCTGAGCCACCTGCTCTCAGACTGTTTTGCACTCCTTTACCTGGAGAGACATCGTACTCCAACCCCTACTTATGCTTGAATTTCAGCTCCAACATCCTCCCGCCCCCCCCCCCAGCAAACCTTCTCAGGCATTTCTTTGCCCCCTACTCCCCTGCAGTTGGCTTAGATGCACCCTATACTTTGCTATCACAGTGCCCGGTGCACACCTCCGTCAGAACCCATGCCACACTTGATGGGAACAATCTCTTCACTTGTCTGACATCCCCACTTGGCAGGCAGTCCTTGATGACAGGGATATGTTTTATTATAGTCTCCCTGGCATACAGCGGAGGACCTTGGTTCCGTGGACGTGCATAGTCAATTATCTTTGAATAAGTGAATGGAGAAATGAGTGAATCCAGTGTGACCCAGTGCAAGAGCAGATATCGCCACCAGGCCTGCCTGAACCAGCCATCTACTCTCTCACTCATGGGACTGTAGCACGTGGCCTTCTCTCTCCATCGCCACACACGAGGCATTCAGATGTGTGTGCTCACTTCTACAACACACACACACACACGTGTGTGTATATATGTATTTACATACATGCACATGGGCGCTACCACACTCATCAAGCACACATCATTGCAGTCCTCTGACATTAACCTTCAAGAAAATAAAGACATCCAAGTCACAGTCCCCAAGGAGCCTGCCCGTTCACGAGGGGGTCGTTCATGAATAGAAATTTTGAAACACAAATAGAAATTCAATAGAAAGTTGAAATGCAAAGTGGCCCTTTCACATAGCACTGCCAGCTGTCAACTCCAATGCAGTCAGAGGCTAGCACTCGATTTCCAACTGGGATCCTCCGGGAAGAGTCTGAGAAGTTGGCAAACTCTTCAAAGCAAGAGTTGGTACAATTATCCATGGGAAAGGGTGGTGGTGACAGTCAGAGGCATGAGCCAGAGCCGAACAACAGGGTCGGGTACTCTTGGGTGCTTAGCCGGGGCCATGGCTCAGAGGTGGGAGGCTTGAGGCATTGGGCAGGGCTGGTACATGCTCCTCCGAAGGTGGACTCCCCGGCAGGAGGCCTGGCGCACAGCAGATGTTCATGGAGCTTGTGGAATACACGAAGGGGAAGGAGCTTGGACTCTGTTTGGGGAGCAATGGGGAATTAGAGGGGTTTCCCACCCGCTTGTCCCCATGCCACAAACTGCCATCACCTGCTCTGTGGGTTGCACCCCTTGCTCCTCCCACCCTGCCTCACTATAAATGCCAGTCTGTGCAGGGGGGCACAGTGAGTCTCAGAGGGGAGACCTGGTGACATAGAAGGTCCCCTCAGAGTGGTATGTGTTCCACAAAGGGGCCTCTCTGCCTGCCCCCACGAGCTCCAAGACCTTCCTCAACCCCTCCCCACTTTCAGTGTACTGGGAGTTTGCTCATAGCCCCAAGTCAATACAACCTCTGTCACCTGCACTTCCTGTCTCTGCGCAAGGGTTGGGGGAGGAGACCAGAGGGAAAGAAACATTTTTGTATCCTACTGTAACATTGTGGGAACTGGGGGACTCACCATGATTCAGGTGGAGGGGGTCCTTTTACAAAAAGCTCTGCCTCAGGAAATCTCTCCAGCCAGCCTAGGGGGAACACAGGTCCTGGATGGGGAGTGGCTGGGAGGTGTCTCTCTAGCTGGTCCCTAAAGTGCTGGACTCGGAATACCTCTGCGTCTCTGGGCTCCAGACAGCCTCCCAGGAACACAAAAGACAATGCATCGAAGTGGGATTGTCATCCAGCACTTTTCAGAACACTTGCCCTTGACAAAAGTACCTACACAGGAGCTATTTCTTGAGAACTCATGACACTGTGTGAAAGATACCACCCCATTCTTCGGATGAAAGAGCTGAGAGGCCAGAGAGGTTGCAGGTCCTATAAGGAGTAAGAGACAGTGTCCCCCGGAACACTTCCCAACTCCAGCCCAAAGCACCATCACCAGTCCTCGTTCACTTTCCACCTCCACTGTATTGTCCCCAAACCAAGTTGATTCTTCTCTGCATATTGGAGGTGAAGCTTCCAGATTGCTATGTCCAGCTAGCTCTGGAGGTGGGGAGGGAGAGGCCCAGGAGGGGGGAGGAGAGCGCCCCTCAGCTTGAGCCAAGGGAAGTAGGGAGGAGAGAAATTCTTGGCAGCCCCTGCCCACTGTGCTAATACGGGGAGCAGCACTTTGGGCCAGGGACCCGGCTCACCGTCCTAGGTAAGAAAGGAGCTCCTGGGTGCGACCGCGGAAGGGGTTGCCCAGCCCGCACCATCCCAGGACCCTGGCCCGCAAGGAGCCGGCGCCTGGTCGGGGAAGGCGGGTTTGCGCCTGGGCCCCCTGAGCTGTGCCAACACGGGGCAGCTGTACTTCGGGGCCGGTTCCAAGCTGGCCGTGCTGGGTAAGGAGTGGAGCGGGGTGCCGGGCGCTCGCGGGGTGGCACGAGGCCGCGGGCAAGTGCCCAGCTCCATCTGGGGCTGGGGCTGCGCTCAGAGGCGGGGCTCCCTGGGCCCGGCGGGACTCGGGCTTGGGGGACAGGGACGGGGTGCGCAAGGGAGCGCGGCTGGCCGCAGAGGACAGCGCAGGATTTTTTTGTGCTGGGGCTCCGGGCTGTGAGCACAGAAACTCAGTATTTCGGCGGGGGCACCCGGCTGACCGTGCTCGGTAAGGGGGGTGCGGGAGGAGGGCTCGGGGGGAGGGCGCCGGGGAGCGCGAGGGGCAGGGGACGGGGCAGTTCCTGTGCTGCGCGGGGGGGGGGCTGTGAGCCTGGACACCCAGGACTTCGGGGCGGGCACCCGGCTGACCGTGCTCGGTAATCGGGGGTGCAGGGGGGTGCGGGGGGCGCTGGGGAGCGCGAGGGGCAGGGGACGGGGCTGTTTCTGTGCTGCGCCTGGGGGCTGTGAGCCAAAATACCCAGTACTTCGGGGCGGGCACCCGGCTGACCGTGCTAGGTAAGCGGGGGTGCCCGGGGGGCGGGGAAGACGGGCCTGTTTCTGTGCTGCTGGGGGGGAGGCTGTGAGCCTGGACGCCCAGTGCTTGGGGCAGGCATCCAGCTGCCCGTGCCAGGTGAGGGGGGATGCCCGGGAGCGCCGGGGAGCGCAGGGGGGCAGGGGACGGCGGGCCTGTTTCTGTGCTGCGCCTGGGGGGAGGCGGCTGTGAGCCTGGACGCCCAGTACTTCTGGGGGGCGGGCACCGGCTGACCGTGCCAGTCCCGGGTGAGCGCGGCCCCCCCGGGGGGGGTCTTGGCTGGGGGCCCAGGGCGGTGCTCTGCAGCCGCGCCCTGACCGTCGTGGGTGAGCGGGCAGCGCCGCGGGGTGGGCGACCCCAGCCCCCCCCCCACCCCGGGTGGGCTCCCGCGCTGGGGGCTGGGGCGCGGCGGGGGCGCGTTGGGGTTTGCGCGCGGGGCTGGGCCTCTGTGCGCTACGAGCAGTATTTTGGCGCCGGCACCAGGCTCACGGTCCTCGGTGAGATGCGGGCGTCGCCCCCCACCCCGCCCAGCCCCTGGGACCCGGAGAACGCGCGGGTGGGGGCCGGGCTGGGGCGCGTGGGGCGCTAACCGTCCCGGGGAGGGGCGGGGGTCAGTCCTTCCAGGTGGTGGGGACCCAGTCCGCGCAGGCCGGGGACCGGGGCGGAGGGCCAGGGCGCTGTGGGGCTCTTTTCCCGCGTCTGGGGCATTTAGGGGCAGGGCGAGTGGGGGACGAGAGCGTTGATGAGGACTCCGAGCCGCTGGATTGGGGCACGGGGCTGAGGAGGGAAAACTGGGGCTGGGGGAGCATAGCAGGGGTGTAGCTGCTACAGAGAGGGGCACCGAGCCTGAGGGGCAGGAAAAAGCAGCGCCAAGCTCGGGATGGGTGGGGGGCACCCAGCCCTGCCGGCTCCTGGGACCGGTAGATGCAAGGGAGGCCGCTGACCAGAGGAGAAAAGGAATGAGAGACAAGGGAGGCCAGAGAGAAAGGCAGATCAATGTTGAGTCAGTGGAGAAAAGACTCAAAACAAGCAAGGTGAGTTGATTTAGTCTTTAGCATGTAAAATTAGAGTTAAAACCCCTGCCCTTCTCTCCTAAGCCCGAGCCCCCTGAGGTGTGTCCACAGCACCCATTGCCGGCCCAGGGCAGCACTGGAACCTTGGCCACTGGGGTGCATTCACCCCTCCCCCTCCAGTTGTCTCCCTCTGCCCCCCCCCCCAGCCTGCAATCTTGGGCCTCACACTAAGTATCCCAGTTTCAACAGACCAGGTGATGCAGGAGGGTCACTCAGGATACTGGTACATTAACCTGGATTGTTTGATAACAACAGGCTCCAGTTATAGTTAGACAGGCATTAAGCTGGAGCCAATGGGGCTCAGCTAAGCTTTGTCCAGAGGAAATGCCAGAGTCCTGTGATCAGCCGGGGTGGGGAAAGACCAGACTTTAGAGCCAGGTAGACCTAGGTCCCAGTCGCTGGCTGGCTAAGGATTGGGTGGTCTTGGGCAAATGAATCTATGTGAAGCTCCATCCCCTCTACGGTATAGGGTCATCAGCAATACCTACCCCTTACCATTGCTGTGAGGGTGTAGAGCGTGCAGGGAAGGTGGATTGTTATAATTCAGTGCTTCTCCTCTCCACCCTTCCCCTAGGTGGTCAGTGGGGAGTGAGGGGAGAGGGTGAGCCCAGTACCTGAGGAGGGACGCGATTTGGCATATGGATAATGGAGGGGAGGGCTGGGCGGGCGTGAGCCATGGGTGGGAACAGGAAAAGATAAACTTCACAATTCTGCCTAAAGCCAGTCCAAGCCACAAACAGAGCATATACAAACAGACTCTCACTAGTACACACACCCACGTAGGCACGCTCACCCACACCCCACAGGGACTCACAAACACGGAAGGATAAACTGACCCTGCCCTCACGCAGAGCTGTGTAGACATGGCATCCTGTTTGTCCTGCCCATTGCATCAATAAGCATTGTGCAGACAGCATCGCACATTGTGCAGAGCATCACACATCATTAATTCTGCGGGAAGGACAGAGTGTTTACCGGAGAGGGAGGGTCAGAGAAGTACATTCGGTAGTGCGCCAGGAGGGCTGGTACAACTTCAGAGCCAGGTCTTTGAGAGGAGAGTGAAGACACCAAGTTAAGCAGAGACATTGATGGAACCGGGCAGTGGAGATAGGCTGTTACCCCTTCTGGTGGGTCAGCCAGTAAAGACCTAGAGACATAGTTTCGCAGTTAGCAAACAGGAGTTGCAGGGAGGGGAAGCTGATAGGGAAGGAGGCCTGATCAGCTCAAAATGAAAATGCCAGGTTCTCATTAAAAATAATTTAGAATTTCAAGATGGCGACAGCAGCCATTAAGCCAAGGGGTGGGGGTGGACTTTGTAACGGTGGGGTCCCATACACCCTTGAAGCTGGCCCTGGAGGTTAGGTCACATCCGTAGGAATGTGAAGTGTCAGTTAGAAGGACATTTTCTCCATCTTCCGGGCTAAACTGGATTCTTCTTATAAGAAGATTTTTCATTTTAATGGAATTGCTAAGAAATGAATAAAAAAAAAAAAACAGTGTAAAGCAAAGGAGTAGGATACGATGAATGGAGAGCAGACCCAGAAGAAGTGAGCCAGCCAAATCAGAGGGTGGTCCGGGCCTTCACCCAAGACTCTGCAAAGGAGAGACTTTGGACAAAAATTGTATCAAAACTAGCAAGAAGCTGCCCTGATGATCTCAGGTGCTTATTTAGGAAGCTGATGGGTAGAAAAAAGTATAAGACTGAGAAAGGAGTGAAGAAGGTCGATGAGCCCCTGAACTTGACATAAGGAGCGATTGTTCTCTATGTGAGCTAGGAAGCTCAGGGGGCACCTGAAGGCAGAGCAATGGCTAGGGTGGCCTCATGAACCACAAGAAAGTCCAAAGCTCCCACATTCTCAGGAGCACACCATAACACCAAAGGGTGCCCTCCCCTGAGTGCACAAAAATATACCCTCTGTAGACTATCATCTGAAGAAAACCCCCCAGCCCTCAAATGACCCCCTAACCTCCAGTTCCTCTTTACTCCTTGGCCACTTCGATTTAGAAGTAACGCACAGGCTGAGGACAGGGCCTTTCTGAATACCAACGTCACTTAGCCTCCATAGCCACTCTGGAAAGTCGGTGTCATGATTTTCCCTTCACGAGCAGGGAAAATGATGCATAGAATTTAAGATGTTGTCCCAATGTCACACTGGTGGGCAAAGTCAGCTTCAAGATTTGGATCCATTATTCTGATTCCCATCGTGTGCTCGATCCCCTCAAATAACTACTACCTGATATGGTGAAATGCAGACAGATAAGGTTTCACTGCTGGAGAAGAAATCAAATAACATCGGTGAGGGGACATTACTCAGAATGCCTACAGGGTGACTACAAAGGACACTCAGGGCAGGAGAACAAATAGAGAGGAACATTATGGAGACCCCAAACACACAGGACCTACTGCTACATAATTTTGCTTTATGATGACTCCATTTCCAGCTCATTCTCTCTCTGTCTCCCTATTTCTCTCTGTTTCTGTCTCTGTTCTCTCTCTCTCTCTCTCTCTCTCTCTCTCACACACACACACACACACACACACACACACACACAGAGCAAACCCAGACAGCTGTCAGCCCAGCCCTGGTCCCAACCTCTCTTCCCTTGCAGAGGATCTGCAGAAGGTCACCCCTCCCACGGTCACAGTGTTTGAACCATCAGAAGCAGAGATCTCGCGGACCCAGAAGGCCACACTCGTGTGCCTGGCCACGGGCTTCTACCCCGACCACGTGGAGCTGAGCTGGTGGGTGAACGGGAAGGAGGTCACAAGTGGGTTCAGCACCGACCCGCAGCCCTACAAGGAGAGGCCCAGCGAGAATGACTCCAGCTACTGTCTGAGCAGCCGGCTGAGGGTCTCTGCCTCCTTCTGGCACAACCCGCGCAACCACTTCCGCTGCCAAGTCCAGTTCTATGGGCTCGGGGACGACGATGAGTGGGAACACGATAGAGTCAAACCCATCACCCAGAACGTCAGTGCTGAGGCCTGGGGCAGAGCAGGTGAGGGGGCCCTGGGGGATGGGCGGGGAGTGAGTCAGAGCCCAGCAAGGGGGTGGGGAGGTTCCAGGCAGAAGACCAGGCAGGCCACATGCAGAGGTAGAGTTCAGAGATTCATCATCAGTCTTATACGTTCATTAATCCAACTTAGATTGCAAAAAAAAAGAATAAGCACCCCAAGCCTTTTGTGGAAGGCAGCGAGATAGAAATAAAACATTCCCCATGAAAAACAGGAAGAGAGCAAAACCAGTGCAGAGAACCCAGGACAGAGCAAGGAGACTAAAGGCCAGCATGAGGGGGACCGGGCGCCTCGGGCTCATTCCTCCCCCAGATCCTCAGCCCAGCAGAGCCTTGCAGCGGGGGCCCTCACTGTCCTAGCCTGTAGGGCTCCGCACGCTCCACGGGGTGCCAGGGTGGTGTGGCTCCATCGACACAGGCCCAGAAAGACAGTCCAAGAGCCTGCGAGAAGGCCGGTCCGGCCTGGGGTCCCTGCTCCCCAGAAGGCTCACTTCCTGTGTTCGTGTTTGTTTTGTTCTTGATTGAAGCCCAGCTGACAAGTCATATTGCGTTAGCTTCAGGTGCACCTACCTGGGCAGCTCCCCGCCTGCTTCAGAAGATGGGGTCTCTCATCCGTTCCCTCCCCCTTTTCTCTTTCAGACTGTGGCTTCACCTCGGGTAAGTGTCCCTGTCTGCTGCTCACTCTCTGCCTCCCGTGGCTTTGCCCTGGACCCAGAGCACGGGGAACCCATGGGCCCTGGGGTGGGGGTGGAGAGGCCAGAGCCACCTGCTGCTCACAGGTCCCCGTGTGCCCTCCCTTCCCGCCCGCAGTGTCCTACCATCAGGGCGTCCTGTCTGCCACCATCCTCTATGAGATCCTACTGGGGAAGGCCACGCTGTATGCTGTGCTGGTCAGCGTCCTGGTGCTGATGGCCAAGGTAGGGGGGCGGGGGGACGGGGCAGGCAGCCTGGAGGGAAAGGATAGAATAGAACATCAGGCGTGGAACACGAGGGGATCTCAGAGCCTGACTCAGCCCTGATATATCCTCTGTCTCAAGGAAATTATAATGGGACTGTCAGACTGGGGAGAAAGTATGGGGATGGTTATAGGATGTCGCATCCGAGGATGGGGAGAGACAACCAGCCGTACCCAAAATCAGGCCCAGCGTCAGGCTCCCCAGGCCTTCATGGCTCCTGGGACCTTGACAATACTCTCTCTCCTTCAGGTCAAGAGAAAAGGTTCCTGAGACCAGCTCCAAAAGTGCATCCTGAGATGATCATGAGCCTCACCCTCGATTCTCCTTCGCACGCTTCCAGTCTGCGTTTCTAAAAGAGTTATTCTCTCTCTACCTCTTATCACCTTCCTGCTGGGATATCTGTCCCCTCTCTCTGCTTCCCTGCAGACTGAGCTCCTCAGGCCTGATACTGAAATAGACTAAAACAATAAAAGTGTCCTGCCAGGCCGTGTGGTGTCTCGGGAGTATCTATGAAGTTCTGTCCTTTGAAGATTCAGGAAGGCACCATCCCTGACTGACCCTTCTTTCTGAGCAAGGCTGCTTTTTCCTGTCCATCCTGCTGGAGGATGGCCTCCGTGGTCCATACCCAGGTGTTCCGGGTTCCTTGGGTGTAGGGTTGGCCCAAAGGGCACAGAGCGGGGAAAACCTGCATAAGGATGAGCAGAGATGAGCCCTAAGCTCACCTCACATGGGACCCAGGACAGGGCAGCCTATGGTCTGAAATGCTTGGTCAGCTCTCAATTCCAGACTCAGGTTTCATTTATTATCCATTTAGGTCTTCTCTGGATCTGTTCTTAATGCCGCCATCTCATCTTGTTTTGAGATTTCGGCAGAAGATCTAACTCTCTTCTGCATGTCTGGGTTAGAATCCTAAAGGAGGCACGGAGTTGCAACTACTGATGAATGAAGCCCAGAGATTTCACAGAAACGGGGCGCGAGGGGATCATGCTCCAGGGGTGGGGGGTGGTGAGATGTCACACATGAGGAGCCCCTCACCTGATGCGGTAGACAGCCGGCCACCCCAAGCGCAGCGTGTCAAGCGCATCCACTCGGGCAGAGACAGTTACTTATCTTACTGGGGGAAATCCTCCAAGGAAGTCACAGTCACTGCAGTGGAACACACAGCAGGGGAGGGAAGGGACACAAACAGGGGAAAGAAGGACACAGACCCCCAGACCACTGAGAGAGGAGACGTGAGCTCCTTTAGGCAGAGGTGAGCAGGGAGTCCGAAAGTCAAGAAAGGATGGGGAAGGTGGAGTCCCTTGCTGGTAGCCTGCTTGTTCCAGGCTTGGGGCTGGGCGCTGGCACAGGTGTCCCGGCTCATCCCCATCGCGCCCCTGGAAGCAGGTGTTACTCTCCCTCGTCCACGGGTGAGGAAGCCACAGTTCATGGGTCACATGGACCGGTAAGCTGCGAAACCGTGGCACGTTCTCATGAAGATGGAAATTCAGGAAGCCTGTTCTGAATAGTGGCCAGAATGGTGTGACTGTCACAGGCTGACATGGAGTAGCTGCCCCCAACTTCCGGTGCAGGACCTACAGGCACAGACTATAAAGAGACCTTGACTCCTCCTGAGTGTATTTATTTCTTAGCATTGCAGTAACAAAGAACCACAGACTTGATGGTTTAAAGCAGTAGACATTTATTCTCTCCCAGTTCTGGAGGCCAGAAGTCCAAAATCAGGTGCGAGCAAGGTCACACCCCCTTGAAAAGCTCTAGGGGAGAATCTTTTCCGCTTCTCCCTACCTCTGGCACACTTGGTGGTCCTTGGCTTGTGGCAACATCGCTCCGACCCTTTGCCTGTCTCCACATCACCTTCCCCCTGTGTCCCTATGCCTGAATTTCTCCCTTATTTTTTCTTACCAAGACCGGAGTCATTGGATTTAAGACATACCCTGAAGTCAGAAGGATTTTGTCCTGAGATCCTTAACACGTACCTCTGCAAAGACCTCATTGACAAATTAGGCCACTTTTTGTTCTGAGGTTCAGGGTGGGCACGAAGTTTGAGGCGATGCTATTTACCCCACTGCACTGTGTGTCCAGGAATGGAGGTGAGGGGTTCCCCAGACACAGCTGACACAGGCCAGGAAGGGACAGGACAGGACAGGGAAAGGAGAAGCTAAAGGGACTACTAAGCTTCTCAGAGAGAAGAGGGCATTGTGGGGACCAGAGGGGCTTCCCTGAGACAGGGAGTGGAGGACGGGTGTTTGTGGGCACAGAGCAGTGGCGGGGGTGGAGAATGCTGAGCAGAAGCAGTGCAGAGATGGAGGGGCAGGTGGAGAGAGGGTAACCCCACACAGAAGGGAAACGGGGCTCGCTGAGCAGGGCATGAGCAGCTGGGGAGGATGTGGGCAGAGGAGCCCGTGGGCACCTGGGGTTTGCCAATGTGAGGACTGAAAGAATGTGCTCTGGAGAACAAACCACCCTCCACCCTTCCACTCCGGGGGACATAATAGAGCTGGAGAGAATTACAAACATCACTAGTCCCCACACCCACACCGCACCCTGCTTGACCCAATTCTTACAGCTGTTTCCTTGCCCCCTCAGACAACACCCCCCCACCTCCTCAATATTCGACTCACAGCACTAGGAAGTTAACCTCTTCTGCCTCGGCCTCTCTCTGTAGAATCCAAGTAGGTCCTTCTGGACCAGTTCTGGGCATCCCATCCATCCTTCCTCAGGTGAAACTGAGCAAAGACAGGTTAGATGCCAGGTGACTGTGTGATTTATTTATTACAGGAGCGGGGACCCTGCCAAGGGTGAGAGGTAAGATTCTGGGACAAGAGAAGTGAATCAAGGGGCACCTGGGTGGCTCCATCGGTTGAGCATCTGCCTCCAGCTCAGGTCATGATCCTGGGGTCCTGGGATAGAGCCCCACATCTAATGCTCTGCTCAGCCAGGAGTCTGCTTCTCTCTCTTCCTCTGCTTACCCCTACTTGTGCTCTCTCTCTCAAATAAAATAATAAAGTCTTTAAAAGAAGCAAAAAAGAAGGAAATCAAGATTGTCCCTGCAAACTAGGATACATGGCCATTCCAATTAAAAGGGCTCCCAAAGAGTTTCTGAGCCCAGAGAATGAATGGGAAGCCCTGAAGCAATTCCTCAGGGGCCTGGGCCTATCAGCCTATTCCAATCTCAGGGCTCATCTAAACAGCATCCTGTTGAAGAGACCTGAGGGCAGAAGGTAGTCCAGGGGCAAACTCCAGAAGTGAGCCCAATACAGGGCAAAGCGTGCTTATTGATTGAAAAGACTTAGAAGCCAAGCATCTCTAAGGGAATGCCTGGGGTCCCCAGGTTCTCACCTTTCCCCAGGGCACAGCTGGACTCACGTTAGGAGAGTGAACCAGGAAAGCAACCTCAACCCTGTGATCTATAGAGATTTACTTACAAATTAGGAGGGAAATGGGAGCATCCCACTGGTCATGAAATCATGAGAACATCCTGGTGGGGGGTGAGGTTCCTGTAGGGAAGGGCTGCTCAAGCCCCTGTCACTTGCCCAGAAAAATGTTCCTATCAGCACTAGTATCCACAAAAGACCCGCATGCCCTCCTACCACAGGGCTCATGGCCCGGATACCCAGGCTGGGTGGTGGGGATGGGAGCCGAGGGTGCTGGGACCTTCCAAGAGACAAAGACTTCTTCTCTCTTAAGTAAGTGATAGGGGAAGAAGGAGGGAGAAAAGAGAGGGAAAAAAAAAAAGATTTTAGAACAAGAGAGGCCAGAAAAGGAGCAATGGATCCTGATAGATATCAATATCTCCATTTCCTGCCCTGAAACATTTCCCTATTTTTCTTCTTCCATAGGGACCCAGGGAAGGGCAGCCTGGCTGATCCCAGCCCCTTATAGTCAGAGAGACACACAGCCCCAAATGTCCCTGTGTAGGACATGCTTCATGAGGTCACTGCTTAGGGATGGATGTGGGAATGGGGGATTGGTACTTGAGACCAAAAATACACTCATGCCTACGTGTATTTTCATCTAGGGTGCCAGGAACTGCTGATGGAGATCAGGAATGGCTAAAACCCCACATCCATTCTTAGCACTACTACTGACCTATGGGTAAATTGCTCTTCTGCTTGCCCATTGACTTCCTCTCTTTCATAACCAAGTTCACTTTTACCCTGTCCATGGAAATTACCCTATGCCCATATAAGAAGACTCAGAGTATGGAAGGCCACCAAGCCTGGACAACAATGATGACAGTTCACTCCCATTGTCTGTGGCAGACTCCTGTAATCCCCAGAATAGTGATTTCTGAGGCTTGGTACCCCATAATCTGAGATGTTATCCACCCCATCTGGGCCCCAAACACAAAGAATTTTCTGCCTCAGTCTTGGGCTAGATATCTCCTTTCCCCTCTTGGAAACTTTCTGCTCTCAAGCTGTGTTTATGGATCTGAGGTCTCTAGGTTCCTTAACACACCACACCTCTCCATCATTCCTTAGGATTTACTGTGACAGCACTTGGCCATATCCTGAATCATGTCCCTCCAACAGAGGACCTAGTCTCTGCTCAGCACACACCCACAGTCCCCACTACATGGTGTTCCACCTCCATTTCTACCCATTGCCTTTACTTTTGCTGCACTTGGACTCCTAACAGGCTCCCCTCCTTGGGGAGGATGGAGTCCTGGTGACAAGGGAGTGGATCTGTAGGTCAGATCTGTAGGTCCACCAGAGCCCACTGCTCTGACTATCTCCCCCAGGAGAGTCATCAGCCAGCTGGAAGTATCTCAGCTGTCCTCTGGGAGTCTGAGGGGTGGACCTCACAGGAGACTGCACTCTAGGGCTTCCTGCGGGCCCAGCGCCCTACTGCTTCCTGATCAAACTCACTAATGTAAGAAGTGGTTTTTTAAAATAGCCACTTGAGAGTGGTCCTGCTGGGATGATCCTTCCTGCCCAAGTCCTGGGTCACTCCAGCAATCACAGCTGAGTCCTCTGCACCCTCACTCCCACGGTGAGACTTTAACTGGACCGGGTCTGGGAACTATACATGCCCTCACTGATAAGGGTTCTTGTATCCCCCCATTTATGCTTGACCTGTCCTGGGAACAGCGAGCTCTCCATCCACCTGTGCAGCCATTTCATCCCCCGGTGGCTCTTGTGAAGAATTCTCTCCTATTTCCATAACCATCAAACTCCTTGTCATACCCTCATTGACCACTGAGATAGTCCCATGAGAGCCAGCAAGCCCACCCCAGTCGAGTCCACAAATCTAAGAGAGATAGAATAAGCACAACTTTTAAAAGCTTGAGTTTGAGTTTGCAGAGGAGGAAAAGGACTCAGCAGAGAGAACATTATGATGACAAAGATATGGACTTCTAAGCCAAAGAGGCCTAGACCGAAGCCTTAGGTCTCACCACCTTAGGACCACCTCTGAGACTCAGCCTCCCTTCCTATAAAATGGGCTGAATCACAATCCCGACTCCATCAGGTGGTTTC